GGGCGGCTCAGAGCCGCTTGTGCCGCGCGTGGGGCAGTCAGTAGGCACAATTAAATATTAACGTTGTGCTAATAAAAATGAAATTTTCGAACGCTGGAGAAGCTGGAAACAGGAAATAATGCTGCGGGATTTTTTTTTTTTTCTGAGGAGGGGAAAAAAAAGTCATACGGAAGAGAGGGAAAGAAATCTAGCCCAAAAGTTAGCATCGTTCTCTCGGTGACTTGCTAATCACATCTCTCCACTGACCACTATGCATCCGAACATGTGTCACTTGGTGGAGCAAGTGCTGCTCACCTCGCAGAGCTCCACGGGTCCTATTGTATTTACAACTACCCTTTATTTGCACCCCTTCGTATGTATAAAAGGTTATATTGCCCTTTTTTGGGGAGGGTGGAATAATCTGTCCTGCCTTTTTACCTGGACAGCAGCTGCTGACTCGTGAACTCTAGCTGCTAAAGGGATAAGTCATAGCCTGGTGCTGTGCACACCACTCAAGCCCCAGTGTGGTAACCAGCTAAAACAAGCATTTTGTATTAGTTCATATAGAATTCTTAATGGGTAGAGGAAGTATGTGTGTTTAATATCACTTCTCCAGTCTTTAGGTGGGATGTAAACATATCAGGGTAAAACTTAAATACAGTGATTAGTTTCAGTTGGCTCAAGTCTGCAACTTCAGGAAGAATATTAAGTTTTAAATTATTAAATATTAAATGTGTGAGGGATGTTGAGAGGTGTTGGGGGGAAGGAAGGGAAGTGTTACTCATGGGACATCACTTCAGGGAACAGTGGTGTGTGTGTATATAAATTTGTGCACCCCATACATATACACATGCACGTATGTATGCGCATTCACCCATACATACACTGACTGGTTTTTTTTTCCCCCTTTTCCTCTCCTCTCTGCAGAGTCAAGATGGCTAAAGGTGATCCGAAGAAGCCCAAGGGCAAGATGTCTGCCTATGCCTTCTTTGTGCAGACGTGCCGTGAGGAACATAAGAAAAAGAACCCAGAGGTTCCAGTCAACTTTGCAGAATTTTCCAAGAAGTGCTCAGAGAGGTGGAAGGTACCTTAATTTGTGACTTCCTGGAGGAATAACTTCTTATGGTATCTGCTGGGTTGGAGGGGGGGAGGGTGAACACGAAGGGAGCTGGTACTGTTCTGCTTGGGGTGCTGTCCTTGTCAAGGTGTCCCAGCCAGCAGTCGGGTGCTGCTGACTCCTGTAGTGACTGGGAAGGCTTCTGCCCACTGTATCTGCCTGTGTAGGTGCTTCCACTGTAGTCTGGCCGTTTCTCCTGTTCCCAAGCAGTGCCTGTCAGTAGCAGCCTCCCTCCAGGCCTGAGTCCTGAGGAGGACTCTGGCTGTGCTTGTCCCATTCCTGTTGCTTCCCTCCTGCTGAGCACAGCAGCTGTGGCTGCGGTCCCTGGGGCAGGACCTTCGTCCCCAAGGTGGTCCAGTTAGAAAACAAACAAATTCTGGAACTCCCCGGTCGAGTCACTATGGGTTGGCTTGTTTACTTAAAATTTGCCAGCTATTAAACAGTTGGGTAATCATAGGTTCGGTGTCTTGTTTTTTAGACCATGTCAAGCAAGGAGAAGGCTAAATTCGATGAAATGGCAAAGGCTGATAAGGTACGATATGATAGAGAAATGAAGGACTACGGACCAGCTAAGGGTGGCAAGAAGAAGAAGGACCCCAATGCCCCAAAACGACCACCGTAAGTAATGTGGAGGAATGAAATGCACAAGTATTTTATTTTGTTTTCATGCCCTTCAACATGGCTGATGGGCTTCCATAAAGGAAGTAGATGGAGTGTACTGTTGGTATAGCAGCAATGGTAATATTCACAATGTGCTGTTGCTATCTTGTAAATAATCTTGGCATCATCTTGGAATCTTGAACATGTAAAGCACTAACAGAAATTGTCATACTTGGTATCCATACACTCTCAGTGATAGAAGACGTGGAAGTGATCTGGGTCACAGGGGGACTTGTGTATCTAAAATGAAATTGGGTGGGGGGAGTAGACAGCATTTGATTACAACCAGTGTTTGGTGAAGGCTGCAGCTCTGAGCCTCAGCAAGATCTCAACATGTTTGAGTTTGCATTTTGTTTGTGTTGTTTTTTAAAGTTTAAAAAAAGCGTTTCACTTGGTGTGTGAGTGCATGTGTGGATGCTCTGGGTGAGGGATGGAGGAAGGGGGTGCTCTGTGGGTGTGCTGCTGTGGTGCTGACTGTCCTCTGGTGCTTCTCCCCAAGGTCTGGCTTCTTCCTCTTCTGTTCAGAGTTCCGCCCCAAGATCAAGTCCACAAACCCTGGCATATCCATCGGGGATGTAGCAAAGAAACTGGGTGAAATGTGGAACAACCTCAGTGATGGTGAAAAGCAGCCTTATAATAATAAGGCAGCTAAACTGAAGGAGAAGTACGAGAAGGTAAGGCTAGTTTTCACTTGCGCCTCTTTCACGCTGGCTCTTGGGTTGATGTTTCGGGAACATGGACCCAGCTGAGGTGGCCCCAGCATAGTGAACATCTCCTGCTGACGTACCTGTTCTCACGGTGCTGCATAGCTGAGCTTTGTGTGCGTTGGGACGGGGCAGGTTAGAGAGCTGCAGGTGCATTCCAGAGGCAGAGAGGGAGCTTTCCCCCCAGTGATGCGCAGCAGCGGCTGCTCATGTTGCCCCAGCAAAGGGTTTGCTGTGCTGTTAAAGGAGCTTTGTCCC